GACTCACTGCAGAAAAGCACAGGAGTCCATCAATTCAATGCATTTGTTTAGCACCATATTACAACATACATTATGTCAAAGCATTTTGGGGGGGAAGGGGGAGGGGGGGGCATGACATCACCATGCCATTGATCCTCTAGTTGTAGCTTTTATTCAGTATCTCACTATCTTAAACCATCTGACCCGTACAAATGCTTTTATAGTGCACAACCTTTTTTAAGGAACATTTTTTAGTTGTTACTGCAGTGAAGGAGGTTCTGTCGTTGTGTTACTTTGTGTATCGGTCAAAAACCCTGCCTCCTCAATGTTAGCAGATGGGACGGACCAAACTTATTCAAAATGTCCAAGTACTTGTAATATACTTTTGTGATGATGGCTTTTCTCATTTTGAGTAGTTCTTGTCACACTGACTTATACGATAAAAGAAAATTTAAAGGACACGTCCATAGAATATTAATATATTTGTGACCACAACATGTTGGAAAAATCTTTGAGTTAAGAAATCTGAGATACTTGCAGAGATGATTGAACTCTAAAATCTTTTTTATTTAAAATGTTTTGTACCAACTCTTTCACCAGCTCGGTCCTCTCTCTCACACTCCAGCCTCTACAGCTGCGTCTCCTTAAAGCTCCATATTATCTAATGATTGTTTCCTGCGAGGCGGCCCCTCCGCCTGTCTGCTTGTTGTGGATGTGTGCCGCATGTTTCACAGCCTGTGTGTGTGTGTTTGTCGTTGTTTCCAGATTGCAGAATTGTGTTATCGTGTGCATATATGAAGAGATTAGAGTCGTGTAAAATTAAAAGGTTTGAGTTGAATTCCCCCTCTTCTCTCTGTCCCTGAACAAATGTGAGATATCGAAGTTTGCGACACATGTGATTACATCTAAGCTGAGAAACTGCACACACATGTTGAAATAAACCGTTTAGTCAAGCATGTACTCAGATCGCTGTATAGTTCACCCAGCTGTGCACTTACACATGTAACATCCTGTCATCTTGGCTCGGGCCTGTTGGATGTGATGAGGGTGTACATCACCTGCTGTTTGGACTTATAATACAGGATATGTAAGAAGTAAACACATAACCACTCCAGTGGGTAATAAAGATCACAACTGTTTGGAGAACAAACGATAACAAAATGATAATTTATGTGACAAACACACTATAAATACAGAGCATGGATTCAAACCAGGCTGCATAAACAGATGTCAAAAAACCAAGGCCTGCAACCAATTATATTTTATTTGACACATTACTCCCATAAAATGAAAGACTTAAATGTTTGGTCTGACACATTACAGCAAAGATTGTTTTTACCTGACAAACTGAAAATGACTTATAAATGTCACTTTTCTGAAATGATAGATTAGGTTGATTCAGATTCACTGTTTCCAACTATTGGTTAAGTTGATTGAAATAACAGCACAAAGGCTTGTTTACAGTTTCCTCTTTGGGTTACCTCTGCCATGACTCACTCACTCACTCACTCACTAACATACAGGAAATGACATGTTTACAACTCTGGAACGTGCAGGATGGATGAACTCACCGTGAAAACCTCATATTATCTTCAGCTGAACATTACACAGTGGGTTTTATCCTTCATCACTCAACTACTTTATTATTATTATATAGTATATGTGTGTTTGTGTTTGTGTGATCTGTAGTGGAGAAGTGGTACAAGCGCCACCTGACCTACCAGATCGTGAACTGGCCTCGGCATCTGTCTCTGGGCTCTGTCCAGCTGGTGGTGCGTGCAGCGTTCCAGCTGTGGAGCAACGTGTCGGGCCTGGTCTTCCAGGAGGCCCCCGAGGGACCTGCAGACATCCGGCTGGCTTTTTACGAGGGGGACCACAACGATGGGGCCAGCAACGCCTTCGATGGACCAGGTCAGTGTCACACACCACACACAGATTCCCGTAATCGCAGATCAATCTATCCGCTCGTATTGATTATGAATAGATAGATAACAAAGGTATGTGTGTATGATGATTGTTGTGTGATAGACTAAGGTGTGTTCTTGTGTGTGTAATTTGTTTTCAGGTCTTAAACCTTGAGACTTCCTGAATAAACAAAGCTTCTGTTTGTGTACACACAGTAATCTGATTACCATGAATTATCAGATTAAAGCAATACTTTGATTACATGCTGTGCTACAACCTGATTACTCTGTACATATTTCTTCCTCTGCCCCGACCCTCAGGTGGAACGCTGGCTCACGCCTTCCTGCCTCGCCGGGGTGAAGCTCACTTTGACATGGCAGAGAGGTGGACGCTGAACGGACACAAGGGACACAACCTGTTCATGGTGACTGCCCACGAGATCGGACACACCCTGGGGCTTGAGCACTCCCCGGTGCGTCACGCTCTAATGTCGCCGTACTACAGGAAACTTGGGCGCAATCTGGTGCCGAGCTGGGATGACATCATTGCGGTGCAGCAGCTGTATGGTGAGTGGATGGTACTTTTCATGGTGATCTGTACAAACCACATGTGTCCTAGTTTGTTACACACTCCTGTACCAGCAGAGTTTAAAATGCATTACTTTAAACTCTTCTCCATATCCAAGGAGACTGTTTCCTTTGTGAAATGGAAAGTGTGTGTTCCTGTGGTCAGGACGAGAGTTAAACATCACACCTCCACAGAGATATTTAAAGTCTGAGTGGTTGAAAAAAAAAACCACCCTTTAGTGGACAGATGACAAACGTCTCCTTGTCTGACCCAGGACCATCTGCACACACAGAGGGAGAATAAGTAGAATGGCAGAGTCTGTCGAGAGCTAAAACACAGCATTAAAACATGAGGAAAATCTTTCCAGCAACACATTCAAAGCTCTTGTGAAAAGTTCATGGTTATGAATGTGATTCGAAGTCCACAGCAAAGAACAGAAAACATTTTTAGTTTCATTGTTTTCTTGGCAAAAATGTAAAAACCACAGTGAACTGCATTTCAGAACAGCAAATCACAAAACACAACAGCAAATAAGAAAACACAAAAAAAGAAACAACAACAGCAAATAGGAAAACACAACAAATCACAAAACACTAGTGGATAAAACACAACAGCATCAACCTCTAATGGAAAAGGAAAGGCTCTTGCTATCGACAACGCTCGTCACTGATTGGATGGACGTACTGTTTTGTGATTGGTTGTGTTTTCCTAGTTGTTGTTGTGTTTCACACGTCAGGGCCTCTGTGAAAACATGAAATCACAAAGAGTTGAAACATCTTTGTTGGTTGAGTTTGTCCTCGACAGCAGGAGAAGACTTATCAGTTTCTAGTTGCTGCTGGGAGAAGTAGGATTGACCATCAAAATAACACACACACACACACACACGCACACACACACACACACACACACACACACACACAGTGGCCTATCTTAAATCTATTATCTGTTGCCTCAGTGCTACACACACAGTGTTTACCTGGAGGTGTGTAGTGTCAGATGACTGCTGCAGAGTGTGGGAGCGATACACACATCTTTGTGTGATGACAAATAGAACAGTTTCTGTTGACTGTGAGTGTGTGAGTGTGTTGTCCCTCTTGGCATGTGTGAGGCAGGTTTCCACATGTGCCTCAGCACAGCTCTCTTATTGCTCGTGTTTTTCTCTCAGGCAGCTGCACAAGAACATGTCTGTTTAAGCTGTTTGCTCTGTAAGTAGCTTCTTAACTCTGCGACGGTGCGTAGCTTTGATGCAGCGTGCGACCACAATGCATGAAGTACTTTCCCTGCCGTGACCCTGAGGTGCAGGTGTAAAGAAGCTGCAGAGGGCCGGTCTGTGTCTTGTAGACAGGTGTTGTATTTTCTGTCAGATTTCTGAGGAGTCCCACCTGCTCAGCCTCCAGAAACATCCCGGGCCTCAGCTTCCTAAAATGGTGTTTGTCAGCATCGTGTCCTCAGAGCCTGGACTGACCACCCTGCTGTCTCAGCCAAGCCACTGCTAACACAAACATCTTGTTTTTCAGTTCAGTTACACGCAGTATGGATTTAAAGTATCTGGCAATGCAAAGCAGCAGTTTAAACCATCATAGATCAGTGTGCTGTTGTGTTTTGCTTGCTCAACCTGACAGCTTGTTTTTATTGCTTCACAAAAAGTCCATCCAGGATTCTTCAGCTGATGACGCTCAGGTGGAGTAAAGCAGAGTGCGGCATGCTTTTCTCCTGTTCGCTTATCGACCTGATTCCCCCCCACGGCATTCATTTCTGCAGCTGCTCCCCTGTAAATGTCAAACAGCTCCAGAGACAGACGAGAACCACGGCTGATGGAACTGCAGGCGCTGTGAAAACGTTACATCTGAGTGTGTGTGCGTGCGTGCGTGCGTGCGCCCGTGCGTGCATGTGTGTGTGTGTCAGAGTTTCATAGTGTTGACATAGTGGGATCTGAGGAGACTTGAACATGTCAGTCTCCAGACATGATCTGATTTGCTCAGTAATGAGAAACATGAAAACCCTGGAAGCTCCACACTTTACAGAAAACACATGTTTCTGGCTTATTAAAGATATTTCTACCTGATGTGTGTTCAGGGAGTTTAGTGTGGTGGAAGTCTTAAGATCCTTAGGTACAAGAAATAGTAGTACACTGTAACTTACAGTAGTACACTGTAACTTTAAGAACACTTGAAGAGTGCGTAAAACCACCAAGGCTGACACAACCACATTGCCGATATGTGTTTCGCGATCAGACACGCCCAGACCATTGTCCAGATCCGTATCCAAATTTCACCTGATCATAGATACTAACATCCTACACATTCCAGATACTGTCCTTCTAAAAGACACACAAACTGCAATGAAACCATAATCTCAGAAGTAAAAGTTCCACATTCAAAAATCATAATTCATATGTCAAATTCATAAGTATTTTCAGTAAAACTCAATGGAGAAAGTGTAAATCTTATATAATTGGATTATTTGAAGCAATTTAACTGAGTGTTACACCCTTTAATCTGCACCAATAAATCATTTTTATTAAGACAATATGTAATTTGAATCAAATCTTTATCTGTTACATAATGTTGAACATTGTCACACAAACATAGTGGAGATGAAGTATAAAAAGGCATGAAATGGGAAAACTAGAGTACAACACATCAGATGTTTATTAAATACAGTACCTGAGTATTTGTGCTTAGTAACACTCACAGGCATATAGTGTTCTGTTTGGTATATGAATAGAAGTGGTGAAATATACATTTATATATCATTCAAGTATTTTACTTGAACAAAACTTGTGTACCTCCTATATCATTGTTGAATGTAAACAGAGAATAAGGAGGGAGGTTTTGTTTGAGAGAAGTCAGACATCCAGCTCTTATCTTACTGCCTCTCTACACACACACACACACACACACACACACA